CTCTGACATACTGCCCTGCCTTAGAGCCAGCCAACTCGGGACTAAACCCTAGAATTTATGAGCAAAAATAAACCTCTCTCCCTCCAAGTTGTGGGTGTCAAGTAGTGTGTCCCAATGAAGAAAAGTGACTAAGACAAGTGTTATGTCTTATATCTAAATGTTCCCCCCAAAGCCTCAAGGACTCCGAGGTGGGGGCTTTTCAGAGTTGTCTGGAGTTAATGTATATGATACTGGGATTAAGCAAGTGTGGTATTAAATTAGTCCACTGATTGGAATTAGCATAGTTCTGGGTGTCCTGGATAGACTTATTGAAGACAGAAGCCCCACCCAAAAGGTTTGTAGTCTGTTTGGGATAAAAAGGAAAGGCAATCTCACTTCTGCTGCTGTTGGTGCTCACAGCCTTCTGCTTGCCATGCCATGGACTGTTTATTTTCTGCCGTGCCCTTCTGCCATGCCACCCTGCCTTGGAACCAGCTGACAATGAACCGAAACCTCTACAGACTGTGAGCTGAAATATACTATTCCTCCTTTTACTTTGGGTGTTGGGTATTTTGTATCAGCATCAAGAAAAGTAATTAAGACAACAAGTGTTAAGAATGCATCTCTTGTAGCTCTAGATGTTGGCAAGGCAGGAACCAGGTTGAAGTTCTAGGAAAAATATAGGCACTTCATCTACAATTTCTATGTAAATATAAAACTAATCTACAATAAAATTTTATTTGAAGACATGTTTACACATTTTCAAACATCTGTTTAATTACACACACTGTTAATTACTAGAAATTGACATTTCTATTTAATCCTCTTTTAAAATAAGAGCATTGATGATACAAAAATTAAACACAAACTAACATATAAGGCCGGAGATTTAGCTCAGTGGTTCCACCTCCTGCCTTGCAAGTGCAAGGACCCGAGTTTGATTTTTGTTACCAAAAATAAACAAACAAAAAAACTAACATATAATTCAACACTAGTGCCTCTTTTGTATGTTTTCTGTTGAAGAACACATATATATATAAACTTATTTATCATACTGTTTCCCTGCACTGTGGCTCTGCCCTGGGTTTGTGCTCTAGAAAGTCTGTCACCAAAACTACAAGAAAATTTTCATATTTGAAAGACTCTATTTCAACTCATGGCTTATTGTTTTTAAAACAGTCATTTTGTCAAACTATGTTCCTTTTGGCTAAATGGACTTGTGACTATTTATTCCAACAAATCCCTGTCTTTGTTTCTCTGCATACTTTTGAGCGCTAATAGATTCAGATATTTACAACAAAAAGAGTCAAGATCGTAAAACATATAAACAGAATTTGTGACCATTTCATTCAGAATGTGAATGTGAATTTGCTTTCTAAAACACAGATGTTAAAATGGTATTAAAAGTCACAGTCCATAATAATGCTCTGCAAGAAGTGGGTAGAAATAAAGGAACAAAAATAGCTGTACAGTCTAAGAGAGATTTTTGAATGCTGTTACCATTATGAGAAAAGACCATTTTTTTTTTTGCTCCACATTTACTTGGGGGAAAAAAAAAAGCAAACATTTATATCACAAATGGAGCAAGAATCCTGGTTAGTGAAGTCTAAAGCTAATAAAATTCTAAAAGCTGTAAAATACTACAAACATCACAAAATACAAAAATAAAACCACAGTGAAGAACATTTATATTTTAGACATAAAGAAATTCTGGTACACTTAAATTTTCACCTGCCTAAGAATTTACTAACACTCATAAATAATTTATCAATGTGCTTGGTGATGAATTTAACACAAACCATAATCACTGAGGCCTTAGCCCTAAATCTAACAATAAACCAACTCTAATCCTAGCCCTAGCCCAAGACCTACCACTAAGCCTCACAATACACTTAACCCTAATCCTAACACTGACATAAAACTCTAAACTTAACCCTAATTCAGGTCCTTATCTCTAACCCCTAAAAATGACCACTTAACCCTATACCAAAACTCTATGCTAACCCTAATCCTAACCCTAACATGGCTGTAGCAGACACCTCTGCCCAGTATTGGCATGCTTCTTGCCCCTCTATAATTTGGCTATTATCTTAGGAGTCTTACTGACCAAAGCTTTATGTGACTCAAATGGGCATATCAGATAGCAGAGGTGAGCTAGCTCCTTGGCTAATGGCTGCTACTGAGACTTAAGTCCTAATGCTGTGGAAGAAATTGGTAAATAACACGTGCAGAGAAGCAGAATGGAAGTACAATAACAAAAAGTTTATTTCAGTAGCAAAAGGCTTATCTTACCAAGAGCAATGCTAGAAGGAGGTGGGTTATAGCTCCTTCTTTTACAGGGTTTTACAGTCATGATCTCATTCAGGTGGTTACATTTTATTCTCTTAGTTCACATTACTGATATACAAATCACAGTCACAAGACAGTTAATTTTAACCCAGATGTAGCCATTCTTTGTAGTTAGGGGAGTTTACCTTTAAGATTCGTCTGGCTAGCTATTCTAGTGCACAGAAAGGGGGTGTTCAAAGTCAGGGATGAGGCCAGATGTCCCACTTCATGGTCAATGCCACCGGTGTCTGTTAATTTTTAACTAAACAAAGCAGATTGCTGTTAGAGACAGCAGAAGTCATTTTACATTTTCCTAACATTTTATAGATGTTTTTTATTACTTGTAAAAGTTCTCTGTATCACTAGTCCATGAAGCAGCAAGGCTCAGATGAGTTCACTTCCAGCCAAAGTCAACTGACTCCAACTAAATTCCTACCCTGTGAATTAACCATTTGTTCTCTTCTACAAAAGATATGCTAGTGTCCCAGCTTGCAATACTGTTATCAGCAGGTGTCCCAAGGCCTGCCCAGCTTCCCTCCTTCCCACACTTGCAATGAATAAACACTGGATGTCCTTGGTGTTTTCTTTGCAGCCTAGAGCAGTTTAGACCAGCCCAAGACACAGCTCTCTCATAAGTCTCTTTGTTGCTCACCTTTCTCAAGGACTTCATATTGTCTCATAGGAGATCAAGACCCACTGCAGGAAACTTTGAAAACAGCTTTT